AAATGAAAGAAGAAACCCCAAAGTAAGATGATTTATTTGCTTTTTGGTAAACTCGATTCTGTTTTGTAACCTTTGAAACATGGATTTTACGAATGTTTCTATTAAAATGTATACTCCCTCTAGCGTGTGTTAATCATTATTGCTCTGCTGGGCATACGGATTACCTGTCTGCATTGTAATGCAACATTCCTTAATATTTACAATAGAAATACCAATGGTTCATAAGACATCTCATATTTCTGTGAATAAAATGGGATTCACAAGAAATAAGGACTTGCCTCCAGAAACGCATTTCAAAATATTAAAGTCCTCATAAAAATTCCTAGCATTATTTAAACCAGTATTGATTTAAACTAATGAAATAAAATATCTGACCACAATTATTGTACTTTAATGCTCGAAAAGGTAGATGAAATCATTGCAAGTACAGTTTTAGTATAAACAGAGCAAAAATAGGTACTTCATTTATAATTGTGTTCAATGCATCAGACATTTATTAAGTCTCTAATTTGTGAAGGTCCTTTTCAGTTTGTGGGGGAAGGGGAAGGGATGTAGAGATGAAGTCAGATCCCTGTCCTTGGGTAAGGAGGACTGAGACAGACATGAGCATCTATAACTTTTTTTAGAGTATGAAGATCCATTACTATGACATAAAAGCAGTAAGTGATCCAGAAGTAAGAAGATGATCCCAAACCAAACTCAAGCCATGAGATTTCTAGCTCTGCCAAGTTTTTATCACTATTGAGAGGTCAGTCTTATAAATATTTGAGTAGAGAAGGAAAGGGGGAGGGTATGGAGATTGCCTAAATTTAGGAGTAAGAGGGACAAAGGCCTTTTTAGAAGGAGCTATCCTAGTGGAATCACATTTAATCATTGAATTCTATATGGAACTCAAAGAGTACTGTTCAAAGAGTTCTGTTCTTGGGTGCTTATAGAATAGTGAGGGAGACAAAAGTATAACTGGTTTCCCCAGCTACTCTGAAGGAAAATTCGGTCGAGCCCCTATTTCACTACCTGGTCTATTCTGGATGGAATGTGCTCTGAGAATTTCTGTCTTTCTTTTTTTTCAGCACCTTTTTTCTTCCTTACTGCACGTTCTTAGCTTCAACCTTTCTACTCACTTCTCAACTTCACCAAACTGTATCCCCTGTGGACCTTTGCAGGAAATCTATCACATTAAGCGTAACATGACAGTTATAAATTTATTGAGGATTTAGTAGTCATAGTTGTGGGATATGATGAAGTTTCTATTCAAATAACCTGATCAATCTTTTATTTTTTAATTCATAATAGCCCCCTCCTTTTTTCCTTTTTCTCTTTTTTTCTCCTTTTTTCCTTTTTGCCTTTGTTAGATGCCCAGGCATGCCACAGTACCAGGTATAATCAGTACCAGCTCACATTCCTTTCCTTGTTCGGAAAGAGGACTAACTTTCTAGCTCATTACAGACACCCCTTCCCCTTTCCTCTCCACTTTCTTTTACGTGCCCACCTTATCTAAAAAAATCAAATGTTTAGCCAACTGGGATTAGTTTAGATTGTACAACCTGACCCCAGCCAATGGGGAAAGGGTACAGGGACAGGACTTACCTCAGGAATAAAGGCTCTTGTACCTCTGTTTAGGTGTGCTCTCATGGCGACTGGCCAAGGAGGCACCCCTCTGCGCAGAAGTAAAACTGCTTTGCTAAGAATCCTTTGTTTGAGTGTTCAGTTTGCTTAGGAGTTTGAGTGTTATTCCTAACATAGGAAAAGAGATCATACCATTGAGACCTCTTAGCCTCAACTCCTGTTTTCTCCTCTCTGTTAATCTCTATTGGCTCTCAAAAGCTACAACTCCCAATACATGTTGCTCTCTGACTCACCTAACAAATCCCATCCACCAAGCATAGTCTAGTCTTCTCTTTCTCCACAAAAATGCTGGTGAATATTTCTGAAATTATTCTTACTGTTAAATAAACAATATAGGAACCAGAGAGGAGGTGGAGAGAGGAAGAAGAAACACAAAGGAAATTAGTTTGGGAAAAAAAAAAAACAAAAAACAGATTTAAAGTGTCTAATTGGAGCATAGTGATTACAGTGTATGTCACTTAAAGCTCCATAATAGATCTTACAGCAAATTCTGATTAATCTCATTCCAACTGTGTGGTTGAACAATAAAGCATCATTCCAAAGTATCCTCATTATTTCCTGGTCCAGGAAAGTATTGCTTAAAGAAAAGAGAGGACTTTTCAGAAACAAAACTGTAGTCTTGACATTTGAGAATAAGACATACAACTGGCAAGAAATGCAAGCTGTCTATAGAATCAATTAAAAACAGACAAGATTATTAGGAAGTCATGCAATTGTTGTGGTTGGATATTAAAAAACTCATTTTTCTCTATAATATCATAAACTTGACTATTTTTATAAAAGCAAGTGCACATATTTATATATGTGGGATGTAGAAAATATATTTTAATATTGCACATTATATATATATAAAAATTGGAACAAATTAGTACTTATAAAATATTCAAAGGGCAGAATCTACTATGACATTTCTTATGTCTGTGTACATAGTACACAATATTTCTTAGTAAAATGTGCTATGAAACCATTTAAGTAAAACTAGGACATTGTTTAATTTCTAAGGAAAAGTAAAGCATTTTTGCCAGATGGTTTAATTCATAAATATTTCAAAATATAAGCAAAAGAAAATTTTAACCTAAGTTAGTCTTGGGATATAGTCCATTTTTTTGTTTGTTTGGAATGCTATTTAAGTTCAAAATGCTTTGATGTTACCTGAATTTTTTTTTTTACATAATTCCAGATATTGGGCAAATTATTTGAGCAGTTGAATGACATTATCACAGATTCTGTTTCTATTATTCTGCTCTGCCATGCTCACGATGTTGGCTTTGGCTTTAGACTAACTTCCTCCTTGCTCCCAAGATGTCCAGAGCAGTCCTAGCCATCACATCTGTACACAACCACAGGAAACAAAGGATTTTTTTCAGAAGAGTGGAAAACTTACAAGCCCCAAGAACACCTTTCCTACCATCTGACTGGCTAGCTATGGATAACATATATACCCCTAAATCAATCCCTGGCAAAAGTAATGGGGCCATTATGATTGAGTCTAATCAGGATCGCCTTAAACCTGTGCATACAGTCACTCTCTCCAGAGTTGCTTGGAAAGAAAGAAGACACGAAAGATGAATCAGCGTCTTGCAAAGAAGAGAAAAAAGTGATTTGTTTGGGAAGCCAACAGTGTTTTTGGAGAAAAATTGTATCAGACTACCAGTGGTTCTCAATCTTAGCTGCACATTAGAATCATCTGAGGAATTTTAAAAAATATTGATTTAACTGGTCTGAAGTTACACTATAGCTATTGGCAATAAACACACCCTTCTGGTAATTTTAATGTGTAAGTTTGAGAGCCACTGCTCTAGGTAAATTAAAAATAGAATAAAGAGACAAAATCTTCATGAATCTGCACACATTTAGATTCTCAAGCAGTTTTGTTTATGAGCCCTACTGAACATTACCTGAAAATTAACAATTGACTTGCAGGGCAAAATTACCAACACAAGATCTTAGACCACAGTTAACTTGCCAAACTGAAATGGTGCTCACTGCCATATTCATGGTATTTATTACAAGAATGTATGATATTAGGGTACTTAAAGTACCCAGACAACTTTTATAGTCAAGCTGAGTTCTAGTTTTATGTAAGTATAGGAATACAGTATCAGTCCCATTTTGGTCAGAAAACTGAGTTGCAAAGTGGCTGTTAGTGGAAGAGACAGAACCAAAGGTAATAGTATTATCCTAACGATAGTGTTCCCTCATTCTACTGTTGTTAGTAATTTTGTTATTGTATTTGAGAAATATCATTTGTTTTGGCTAAAGCAAAGCTTTATAATAGCTACCATTTATTGACAATTTGCTATGACCCAGGAGCTGTACTAGGTGATTTATTCCCACCCCAACTTTTATTTGATCCTCATGACACTCTTATAAAGTAAATATTACTTTACAGATAAGGAAATTGGAACCCAGGGAGTTCATTATTCCGCCAATGACTCGTATTAGTTCATTTTTCTGGGATCTGGATATGCCCATAAGGCTGTGGGTTACATTGCCATATATAATTTGTTGAGTTTATCAGTTCAACAAATACCTGTTGGTTGACTAACAGCTGATAGGTGCTGGGTTAGGCTCTGGATTGGATTGCATTTTCCCTCTACATTATAATTTACTTTTTTTTTCTTTCTTTAAGAAGTAGGTTTACACCAATTGATTTGCAGCTGCACCAAACACTTAACATCTGATCAAAGAACAATTGAATGAAAAAATGAATTCAATCTTTAGATTGTGAATTGGAGTTGCTCTTATTACAAAGACTAATGAAATTTTACCTAGACAAAAATTTCCTTTTCCTTAGGAACATCAAATATAAAAATAAAAGTGTTTTTAAAATGCAGCTTAAAGAATACTACCAGATACTTTCAAGCAAATATTGAGTTTCTGGTATGTATGTCTTGAGTTGTTCTCACACTCCATAATTCTGTTTTTAATAAAAACAGCATTCTTAATGAGAAAAGGTAATTGGTCTGAAAAGCTGACATACATTTAGATACTTGGTTTAGAATGTTTTCTACTGATTTAAAGATAAGGGGAAAATAAACTGGGCCACAGCTATTCAGGACTTGCTAGTTTAATTTTTCATAGGGATAACATTTTCCAAATTACTGAGATACGATATTGAAAATGAAGGGCAACCTTCTTGTTGGGTGAAAGTGTTAGAATAGCCCTAATGCAGAATCTCATTAAAGCAACTGTCAGGATTCCTCTATTTTACCATCACCTCCCCTATTCTGTAAGAAGCAACTGTCGTTTTGAGTGAGTGTACTGCCAAAGAGGCATTTACAAATAAATGAAAAATGTCACAATTGATTTCACTCCTTTCAGAATACTGTGTGTCAGCTTTGTCACAAACTGTCTTTGCTACTCTCTGTTTTAGATCTCCCAGCTGGACGTTCAAAATAGCTTTTGATGTTTTAGGGCCTCTTTTATTCGACCCTAGGTAAGCCCTCTATTGGTGACCTTTTATAAATATTTGTAAAGCTGTTTGTACTGTTAGAGAAAATAAAAACCCTTTCTCTCTGTAACTGCTGTTTTTGTAAAATAGCATCCAGATGTCAATTGTTTACATACACATTTGGTCATCTGGGGGAATTATTTCCATTACAAAACATTATAAAATGTTATAATAATATTTCACATTCTCTTCCCCAATACAATGGTTTGTTATTATGCTTAATTTAACAATAATGCAAATAACAATGTTACTTGTAAAAAAGACATGACAAAGTTCTTCCTGTATTTTGAAAGAACTCAATAAGTGTCTAGCTTTATCTTGAATAAAGAAGTCATATGATTTACATGTAATATCAGTGATATATATTCATTGTTGCCATCACTATAAACCAGTCCACCAACACTACTGCCATCATACTAATGTTACTGAAGACTTATACTGAGCCATATGCTTTGCTAAGCAATTCTATGAATTATAGAAATGTATCACAAGGGTGTCTGAATCCTAAATTAATATGGATTTGGAAAAAAGACAACTAATTAGAAATTGCTAGCAGTTGTTTTTTATTATGGATATTCAATTAAAGAGAAGCACATCTTTATATAATTATACTGTAAGATATTTTAATCAGTATAATTAATTATAGATCATGCTATCATTTGTGATTACTTAGCTTGCTACTGTTGACTTGAAAGATCATGGAATGGACCAATTAGCAATATTCTATTTCTCTTTGAAAATAGAGGTTTAAGCAGTTCATTAATTCAACAAATATTTATTGAGCACTATTAAGTGCCAGGTAGTTTACATTGAAGGCGTGATTGTGAAGAACATGTATCTATTCTTGAAGAGTTTAAAGTCTAGTGAGAGTCAGGGAAACATACAAGTGCAACATAGTGTGATGAGTGGAACAATAGAGATAGCATGGAATACAATATGAGAAATTATGTGGGCACCTAAGCCAGGCTAGGTATGGCTACTCGGGGAGTGATGTGGCAGTAGAATGTGTGAGAATAATTAAATTTTGAAGAAAGGAACAGATTGTGAATGGCCTCAAAAGTCATATTTAAGAATTCAGATATAATCGTGTAAAGTGGCAGTTAAACTGGAAAGATTCATATAATATCGTACAAAGTCAGGCTGGTGATATTCTCACAGAGCCAGCTAACCATGTTTAATAACTAGGAAAGCAGGCTATTCTTCCTTTCACAGCTATATAAATGGAATATATTTTCTAGAATATAAGATCTTTGTGAGCAAGAACCTGGTCTAATTTCCTTGATTCCCCAGGATCTATTGCAGTACTTTACACATACAGGCTCTTAGTATTTATAGTGTGGAATGATAAAATTAAATGTAGATATCTAGAAAATGGATAGGTTGACCCAGTAGAGGCTCCCTCAAAGGTCGACTATTCATAACTATATACTCTTTTTATCCCTGATCAGTTGTCACAAATGGCAAAATTCCTTTCCACATCTCCTTTTTACTTTTAGATTCATAATGAGGGTCTTGTAAACCAAAAATAAAATTCTAAGTCCCCAACCAATTGAATGGACCCCTCCTATTAGCCCACAGCATTCCTAAGTTAACTGTAAAAATTAATTCCAGCCAGGATGGGAAGTGGAGGTTGGACCTGCTTCATTATATTATCCACCCTTTGGAATTTAGGCACAACTGATCGGCATTTAACATTCAAGTAGAGACCTCAAGACTGACAACGCAGACTCTTTGTAGCAATAGGATACCAACATGACAGCTGGTCCTAAAAGAAATCAAAAGTACTTTACCCAAAATAAATTTACTTGACGTATTTTGAAATGACCCTGCAAAGCTTTCCCTAATGGGACACAAGGGGAAAGGAAAAAAGACCTTCCCTTTCCAGGTGTCTTTCTTGATCCAGGAGAGAATTAACTAAGATTCTGGCATTTTTTTTAAGTTGGGTAAGAAACATTTACAATCTATTCTCTCTGAAGCCTGCTACCTGGAGGTTTCATCTGCATAATAAAAACCTTGGTCTCTATAACCCCTTATCTTAATCCAGACCTTCCCTTCTGTTGATTCTAGGTCTTTTGGATAAACTCTTTCAACCAGTTACCAATCAGGAAATCTTGGAATCCATCTTTGACGTGGAAGGGTCCATTTTGAGTTGTCCTGCCTTTATGGACTGCACCAGTGTACATCTTAGATATATTGATTGATGCCTTATGTCTCCCTAAAATGTATAAAACTGGGCACATGTTCTCATGACCTTTTGAGGTTCTGTCACAGCCATGTCCTTAACCTTGACAAAACAAACTTCTAAATTTATTGAGATCTGTCTTAGCTACCTTTTAGTTTGCAGGTAGATACCTTAGATACCTTTTTGAAAATCAACATAAGATGCAATTTTTCAAATAAGCAATTTGATAATATGTATCAGTAAAATCTCTGTAAACAAACTAAAGAATTGAATAAAACTAAGACTAAGTAAAGAAAATAATTTTCAGCAAAAGCAATAACCAGTATGTCCAATATTTATTTAACTTTAGAAAATATATACTCAAATACATTACAAAAGCTTTCTTTTACATACAGAGAGATAAAATGATAACTATCATTAAATTAATCATATATTGTAAGATAATGTATCAAGGAGATACATTTGATTTGTTTTATAATAAATTGTTTAATGAGTCTTTAAAAATTAGGTACTATAATTCACAAATCACAAAATTATTTATTTTAATAGTATGTATCATTTTATAGTGTGGACACTTTTGGTTAGTTTAACCCAATATGAATTCTGTCTTTCTTGCCTTTGTTAAGTTCTTCATTCTAGAGACTTACCTATGACCTGCCTTTCTGGGGTGATTTCTTTAAAATGTGTTATCTTATGGTCACCTTACTTATAGATTTGTCCTTGAAAGCAGTAGAACATTTCTGTGAATTTATTTTTTTTGTGGCCATATCAAATTCTGAAAGGACTGTGAACACTCATCCAAGGCAGAGAGTAGTATATCGACTCTCATTTTTTTAAATTGATCTAAGGATAAAGCATCACGAACTAATAGTTTCAATAAATCCAATAATTTTGGTAGGTCACTTAAAGCATTGTTTTACAAAATGAAAATAATTTTTAAAAATTAAAAACCTGGCTATATAGAATATTCAAGCAATAAAGAAAACATGAATAAAGATGCCAAGATAGAGTATCTGTCAACCTCAGAGTAACTGATGATTGCCCTGTTGTCCGTGGGGTAATTGTAACATTTTGCCAAGAGAGAAGTAGGAAGTTATCAAAAAGAAAAAAAAAAAAAAGAAAAAAAAAAGCTGTCTGATGTTTTGAAATAATGGGCATTTATCTATCTTGCTATCAGTCAAAATACAGGGTAAGAATGGCCAAGTATTAAAAAGCCTAATGGAGGAGTACAAAAGTGGCAGAAACAAGTAATATAACTGGGAAGTGTTGAACCAAAAGTTCACAAAATAGAATTTATTTTACTAAGAGGGGGGAAAAAAAAGCAGATGAGGCCAGGTCTGCCAGTAGGATGTGTAAACACCTGTGAGCTAGGCATCAGTCAAGGGCTGGCTTCTGGCTAGCTTCTGGCTGGGCCAGGTGGTGGTAACAGTATGCAGCAGAGACTCCCTTGTTTTGGGGTCATTTCCTATGCTTATTCTCTCTGTTGGTTTCCTTCTTTTGCTTCCACCTCCTCATTCTGACAGCACCTGTTCTATAATATTACTTTGGCAGGCAGCCTTAATGTACATTTTAACAAATTCTCTGTGCCAAGTTTTCTCTTTAAGTTACTAAAGGTAATTGTTAAAAAACTTTCAGAGCAAGTGGCATAAAACAAAACTGTTCTATGGAGGCTATAACAGTCAGTCAACTATGCTAGTAGCCGGAAGACTTCTTATGAATTTTACGTACTACATTAGAAGCTGGCTTGTTGACAGGAAAAATCTTTAAAAGTCTTTTATTGTCTCTACAATGGGGCATACATTTATCTCATTTCATTCATGCTAACATGCCCCGTTTGACTTCTGTTTTCCTTTAATAAAGCTATGTAGATTCCCAGGGACTGAGACAAAAGCAGTTGATTTGCATTAGGACAAAGCATTTTCCCAAAAATACAATGTGACTCTTGACAACTTGTTGCCTTGGAGACTAAAAACTTTACATGTGAGTTTTCCAAATGATAGGTATTTTTAATTTATCTATAGAAGATTCAGTAGAATTTTCTTATCTTAATAGCTACTGCCCAACTATGTACCTTTTGCCATATGGAGGTAGAAGGGGAAAATTAAAATGCTTCTCAAAACAGGAATGGCACAGTTCCTGTTTGGAACACATTAGATCTACTGGAAGTAAGGTTTTGCATCCAGTAGAACCAGAGCTTTTCACACATTATTTCCTCTTACCATGTTGCTCTTCTTTAACTCCAAACTCTTATACTGAATATTTATCCCTGAAATATTAAAATTCAGGTAACATTAATTTCAAAGAAACCTTCTCTGAAACCCCTTTCTCTCAATACCTATTATGCCACACTTCACATTCCATTTAATTTTAATTGGGAATGAAGTGAGATATGAATTATCAAGAGAATTTTCTCACAAATTCTGTTAACAGATTTTTTTTGATTGCCATATATCTGAATGATGTTTTTAAAAATTTTTACATTCCAATTTCTGTTCTTCTAAATTAGAAAATTGGAATGTGTGACAACATAGCTTGATATGTGCTAAAAGTACAGGTGTCAGAAAGATGAAAGGTGATGGTTGAATAACATGAAGGTTAATAGTCAAGGAATTTGACAGCTTTATAAGAACAACATATTTACTTAATAAATTGAAAGTGGGTTAATCAGTCATTCAGCATATTCTAAGTGTGTAGTATGTGCATGAAAATACACTGGATGCTATGAAACATTTTTTTAAAAGCAGTTAAAAAGCATTAACTTGGCTCTATTTATGATTTTTGTCATTGTGAAATGTAGAATTCA